GTCATAAGAAGAAAACAAATCCTACCATTTGCAACAACATGGATGGAGCTAGAGAGTATTTTGCTCAGTGAAATAAGCCAGGCGGAGAAAGACAAGTACCAAATGATTTCACTCATCTGTGGAGCATAAGAACAAAGCAAAAACTGAAGGAACAAAACAGCAGCAGACTCACAGAACCCAAGAATTGACTAGCAGTTACCAAAGGGAAAGGGACTGAGGAGGGTGGGTGGGAAGGGAGGGAGCAGGGGAATAAGGGACATTGCGATTAGCACACATAACCTACTGGGGGGCACGGGGAGGGCAGTACAGCACAGAGAAAGACAAGTAGTGACTCTATAGCATCTTACTATGCTGATGGACAGTGACTGTAATTGGGTATGTGCTGGGGACTTGATAATGGGGGGATCTAGAAAAATATATATATTCTCAGCAAAAAAGAGCACAAATTTAAAAAAGGTTGAAAAACACCTCTTCAGTTCAAGTGAGCTTTACTGAATGTCTGCTTCTGAAAGGCACCGTGCTGGGCCCTGGGAATAGAGTCGGTGGGACAGTCTCTGAGGGAGACACACAAATACCCTATATTAATACTGTATGATAAACACTAAGAAAGATTGGACCAACATAAAACTTTCCAACCTGGACCACCACCTGGATGTGGTAATGACAATCATGACAACGGCCTTGACCCTGAGTAACCCTGATGCCCACCATGGGCCACTGTTGCGCTAAGCCCTTTTCCATTTTATTACATCTTTCTGTTCTTGCAATAATTATTGGCTCCACTATACAGATGAGGAAAGTGAAACTAAAAGGGGTTGAATAATATGTCCAAGCACACACAGCTACCAGAGCAGGGCAACCAGAGTAGAATCCAGGCCTGCCTGACTGTAGAGTCTAAGCTCTACTCCACTACCTAGACTGTTATCAAAGATATTAAAATAAATAATGAAAAGTAAAAGCAAATTCTCAGTTAAAAGAAACTTGCAGATGGCAATTTAAAAAGAGCTGAGATCAGATGTAGGTAAAATGATCAATTGTATTTACAGAGTACTAACATATCTTCCAAAAGGGAAGTTGTCAAAATCAGTAACAGGTATGATTGCCTTTGAGCCTAAAAAAGCAGTGTTAAAATGCAAATCAAAAGAATACTCTACTTCCCCGCTCATTCCAGTTAGCAGGGAGTTATCTTAAACCCGGTATAGACAAAAACAATACTTCTTCCCAAAGAAAGGCATATAAAAAGTTTCTACTTCAAGAAAAAAATAGAGAACTCTTTTTTTTTAAATTCTGGTTATCACATATAATTTGAAATACTTAGGACTTCTTAACAGTAAGGTCAGGTTCTGCGTGCTACAAAGTATCTGAGAAGTTTTCACAGCAAGAAAACACCTTCTCAGGAAAGACCTCCACGGGAAGAGCTGCATGCTCCCCTCTGGCATGCTCCAGGCTGCGCGATCTCAGGAGAGAATACTTAATTCAATCTCCTACTCTGTTTACACAGACTGCCCCGTGAATGGCGTCCCTGAAGTTGGCCACTCTGGACTACAAGCCTTCCCCAACCCCTCCTTAAAACATGCAATCCACATCCACACTACATACTGAAGCACTTGAGTGAAATGTGTGGACTGGGACACACTTCAAAATAATCCAGAAAAATAAAGCAGGGAAAGGATAAAATAAGAAGGGTAGAATTTTAAAAACTATTTAGTTTGGCTAATGGGTATATGAGGGTTCATTATATTATCCTCTATACTTCCGTATTTGAAAAGACCCATAGTAAAATAAAAAGTTAAAAAAATACACACACACACACACACACACATATACACACACGCGCAGACGCGCATGCGCGCATGTACACTATCCCAGTGGCATGATTTATGAGTTTAAATCAGGTTTCTCACCAGAGAAACGTAAGAAAATTCTGATGATGCAAATCTGGCCTTACCAAGGAAGCAGAAAAGCCCATATAGACACTTCATTTAAGAGAGCCTAGCCAAATCCCAGGACTACACGCCCCTACCTGGCAGTGCCTGTCAGATCACATGGTAGTATGGTGGAGAATGACTAAATTATCCCTGATTGATTTTTCATGAGTTTCTAGGAAACACTTGCAACTGCCAGAGGCAAAAATTAGATTAAGAAATACTAGTATATTCCAACCCTCAGAAGAATCAAACAACATCCTAGAACAAGCACGGAGGCATCCTCAGAGTCCCAGAGATTCCTCAACCTCACCAGAATCCTAGACCACAGACCCCAGGGGTGCATTTCCATCCTTTCAGGGAACTTCCATCTCAAACAAGAGTCTGCAGAAGCGCAATCCTAGAAAGCCTTATCTGTGAGCACATGAACAAGGAAGCAAATGAGCGCGCTGCACAAGCTCTACTAAAAAAGCAAAATTCAGAAGAAATCACTAAGCCTTTCAGTCGGTCTCTGCTGCTCCGCCAAGAAAGCGTGCTCTTCTCCTGATTTCTTCTATCCCACAGCCAGTCACCTGTAGGTGAGTATGTTTCTGCATTCAGAGCTCTCAGGGTGACCCTGACGATTAAGAAGGGCGCTAACTAGAGAACACACACACCACAGCGCATCTGAAGGGTCACAAATAAAAGCTTTCCATCATATACAATGCTTCCCCATCTGATGCAAGCAAAAAACCTCTCTAAAAAGTGGTAATAGAGCTCTATCAATGGACTTCACCAGACTCTAAAAAGCCACTTGCACAGAAAGAAAAAACAATGTTAAATGCTTTGTCTTGACGTAAGAGATTTGCAAAATAGGTAAAAAGAACTACTGGTGACAGAAAAAAACGCCTATATGTCTTTTTTCTTCATATTGCCTTTTGCATAAATTATAAATAGTAAATTGCCCTCTGAGTTCAAACTGGAGGGACAGAGCCCATTCTCCACTCTTTATTTTTTCTACTGAAAATAAAAAATATAAAGCTTTTAAGTAAATATAAGAACAAAACCCTACATAATGTATCTTTCTACACACTCGATTCACAAAGATGTCCAAAGTCTTCATTTAAACATGATCAAAATAATTACTTACCATCCAAAGCAAAAAAGTGCAAGATAAAGGCCCAAAAGGGTGGCAACAACATGTCTTATAAAAGAGCTAGTTTTGCTTGAACGTAGGTAAGTTCGAAACCAAATGGCTGCTATCAAGGCAAAGAGCTGGCACACTACAAAGTTGACCTGTAAGAAAAATTAAAATTTCACATTAGCAACACAGACTTGAATTTTTCATTTGATGTCACACTTAAATTCTCAGGAAAAAAATACCAAGCTTGTATAAAATTAAGACCTTCCGGTTTATAAAAGAAACAAAAACAAGCATCAGGGTCCTTCCCAGGGATGACAGCCTCAAGTTCAAAGTGAGGGCCTGTGCCCAGCATTTGTGCTTTGGGTCGGGTGGTGCCCAGCACAGGGGGCGGCTGGAAGAACCTGGGGAACATGGGCTGCAGACATAAAGTGGAAAGCAAGGTGCCCTGTGGCTAAGGAAAAGAGAAACATGTTTTCATCACTTAGGTGACCCTGTAACTGGTAGAAAAAAGGAGCTCTGAGTTTCTTCAAAATTCCCCTGGGTCAAGATCTGGCCAAGATCCTCAAGGGACTTGTGGAGTGCACCCTTCTGTTTGGAGTTCTCCAGCCACCCCAGGGGGGCAGGGCGCGGGGGTTGTCAAGGGGCATCAGCTGGTCTAAAACCCACTTGTGAAACAGTGGGAGCCCAATGTCTCAGTTCTGGGATTTCAAGGACTGGTTCAGGAGGCAAGTGGGCAAGTGACAACAGAGAGAGGACCCTTCAGAAAACCACCAGGGAGAACATTCTCAAGCCCACCAATGCCAACTTCCAGATTTCTCCGTGACTCACTAGGACTACATCGCCCTTGGCGCAAAGGAATGAAAAGACGCTGGAATGGTGCTGCCGCTCTTCTCTCTCCCTTAACATTTCTTTTGCGGAGGCAAAGCTGAGAAAGTAAAAGGCTAAGAGGAAGAATTTCGTAACAGAGTTTAAAGACTTCAGAAAAATCTCTATTTTTCTTTTATGCAGTATATTCTCACAGAATGTTAAGGAAAAGTATGTCTTACATCTATAAATAAAAGAAAAAATCCACTTGACACTAGGAACTGGTAAAAAACACACACACAACAAGATGACTGTCTCAGACACCTCAATGATGAAAAACAAGTCACACTATTTACATGTAGATGCTGCCCCAGATCCACAGCTATCTCCGCCTAAAGACACAGACAACTATGTGCTTTTTCTTGCATTACAAGAAGAAAAACAGCTGCACATTGTTGTACATTGTCTAAGAGACCATTGTTCTTGAAACAGACTAAATAGAAGCAAAATGTCATTCCAGCAGGTTCTGTACACTTTCCCTCCTAAAGAATTCTAACAATCTATTTTTAATAAGCACAAAGTGAATACATCCAAGAAATGAATACTGTTTGATATTAGTTACATCTACAAAACTTACTACTTAGAAATTTTCTCTCCAATATCTCTTAATTCAACAAAAAGGTATCAGCCATGGGCATCAATCATGGGCAAAGCATAGGAAATTGAAAAACATACAAGTCCTAGAACCATCCTCAGATGACTTTACAATTTAATGAAAAAAGCAGACACAAAGAACTTCAACTCAACTATTAAAGTGTCTTTTAAAGTTATTACAGGAAGTGCTGTAAGAAAACCCCAAAGGAAAGAGCACGAAGGGGTGAATGTACAAAGTAGGAAAGATAAGAGTTCCCAATCATAGCTGATTTCCACAACCGTCCAAGCAGTTTCTCTCTCTCTCATTTTGTTTTTGTCTCATGTAAAACAAAGTGCGATAATTATTAGGTCAGCATTCTAGGGCTAATGACATATGGAATTTTATATCTTTGTAAATACCCACTTCAACATTGTCATCTTACAGGTAAATTTGTGAGAGCAGGTCTCACTCCAGACAATGAGTCCAAATCTTTGGGGGTGGGCCAAAAGTCAATATTAAAAGAAAAACAAAAACACAGGTCCTGATAATCCCCAAGATGTGAGAACAACTGTGTTGGAAAATTAGGGAAAGGTCATTCTAAGCAAAAAAAAAAAAAAAAAAAAAACAGCCTGAGGTAAAGGAAACACTGGGCCCAAAGACGCCCAGGGGTGCAGTGTGGGCAAGGCCTGGGAGGGCAGGTTAGGAGCCAGGCGTGTTCAGAAAGTGAGAGGCTTTGTGTGTCCTGCTGGGGCCTTCATAGGTGAGTCCATAAGTACTGAAACACCATGGAAGATTTTTGAAAGAAAATGCTGCGGTCCATTGTCTTCTGCAAAGAAGGGAACAGAGCAATGAGTGTTTACAGCAGGTGGAGAGGTGCTCAGCCTCTCTGCACAAGGAGGGCCTGGGGCTGCAGGGCGACGGAGAGAAGCAGCTCGAAGGCATGCAGGCCCCGGACCCACAGGCCCTTCGCTAGACCGGGCATGTGGGAACGGAAAGGCCGCAAGGTGCTGCTGGTCTACAGGATCCAGCCAGACCAGGGTGTGGGAGAAGCATGAGGAGGAGAGGCGCCTTCCTCAGGGAGGCCCAGAAACCCAGAACTCTGAGGAGGGCTGCACGACAGGCCTGGAGCTCGCAGGCAGACGGGACCCGGGAGGGGTGCAAAGCTGAGGGACAGCTATGAAGACAAAGAGGCCCAGGGCAGAATCCTACAGACCGTGCCACCCTTACACACGGGGCCAATAACAGGAGTCGGCAGGATAGGAAGGCTGTGTGTGGGAAGGGAGGGAGGCACAAGAGGCCATGGTCATTGTCAGACGTCCACAAGGCATGAGGTCCAAACCAAGCCACCTAATCTGGCAATCGCTACTTAATCGGTGGCTGTGGTGAGAACAACTGAAGTAGAATGTCTAGAACAGAAAGCGACATTGTACGGATGAGAAACGAAGTCTCGTTGTTGCGGTGACCTGTCTGAAATAACACGGCTTAAGAATGACTCATCCAATGTCCACTAATGGCCCCGGTAAGTGGACATAAAGATGCATGATATATGGTCCTGCTCCCACAGAACCAGAGAAGTGAGTCACAGGCAGAACTTGAACCACGTAAATGCTAAGGCACCATCTCGGGAGAGCCCAGAGGAACACTCCCATCCCGTGATCTGGAGAAACACCTCAAAGGTACACTGTGTATTTGGGCCTTACAACCCGGGCTATGAAGGGTAAGGACTGGCACAGTCAGACAATGGCAGAAACACTAGGAGGACTGGGTAACACACCGCATGTCAAGAGAAAAAGCTGTAGGACATCCAGGTGTGGAATTCAGATTACCTGCTTCCAGAATGCACACACTCCCAGACATTCAGATAACTGCTTGAAAGGCCTTAAACTTTCCCAAACTGAAACCATATCCTTAGTCATCCTTTCATGGTGGGGTATTGTTGGGGAGGCCAAGGAACACTGGAGAGGTAAAGATGTAAGGAAAACTAACACAGCCATGGAGTGTGGGCGGCCACTGCAGCCACGGTATGTGGGTAACTTCACAGATTGCCTCACCTAATCCTTAGAGCAAGGTGCCATTTCATCCCCATCTTACTCAACCATCTCCAGGTCACTGATAGCAACAGGTAAGATTCAGGCTCAAATCCAAGACTGACCGAATGCAGGCTGTTCAATGGCTACCTCTCTAGTTTCAGAGAAATGTCTGAAAGTCAGCCTTGATTGCTACTGGCAAAACTTTAGAAAACATACTACCTGATAGCAAAATACTGCCATCCTAGTTAACAAAACAGCAGCAATGGCTACTCCGCACAGCGGATAAATGCATAACAAAGATCCTATGTGGAGTTCCTGTACATTTGGTTTGGCTTGTTACAGGTCAAGTGTATACAAGCTTTCTTCCAAGAGGGAAGAAATTTAGACTAAAAATATTTATTTTCTCTTTTCAAAACTATTTTGTTGAAAATATGCCTATACAAATGACCTGCCAGGCCTTCAAAGAAATTGCCCTGGGTAACTTGGGAGTGGGGTCTGGGAGAGCAGGCAGCAAGCAGGGGGCGAGAAAGAAGCAAGGATGAAAAAATCTTAGCTAATTAAAGACTTACTTATAGCACACCTCACTTTATATGAAAGGCCTTTTTTGAAAACTTGCACACAGAAGTACTTATAAAAGCAATAGTTGTAGACAAACCAGAAGATGCCCTTTAAGGAGCATGTTGTACAGGAGGTGGTGAGAGAAGTACTGTCTTCAACACCAAGTGGCTCAACCATACAATTAAGTCAGTGTCTAGGCACTAAGGTTGAAAGCCGATTGCTCAAACATGGATGGCGCTCCATAGTAACAGCAACAAGATTAACTTATTTTAAGGACAAAGAAGTTTTTAATAATACCCCAAAATAAATTTGTAAAAGCTTTCAAGGAGGCAGGGGTCCAAGGGAGTGGCAGACAAGTCATCAGCTCACCTCCTCCTCTGTTACTCACGGCGATCTGTAACTATGTGGGGTGACAGATGTCAACTAGCTTTCTGTAATCATTTTCACAGTATATCCAAATACCAAATCATTGTGTTGTACAACTTAGACTAATACCATCTTGTATGTCATTTACATCTCATTAAAATGAGAGAAAAAAGCATTTACATAGATTAAAAAGACTTTCTCAAAGAGAAGATACACATGTTACAGAAGACAATACCAGTAGATTTTTCCATAAGAAGACTTTTTATGTATGGCAAAATGGAAAAAAAAAGTCAAAAGAGAAAGTAGAGGAAAATATTTTCTGAAATATTACAGAAAAAAAAGTAATTTTCTTAATATAAAAGAACTTTTACATGTCCACGAGAAAACTATGAACTAACCAGTAGAAAAAGGCATGAACATTTATAAATAAACAATAAAGATCAGAAAAATCTCTCTCAAGCATAAGAAGTGCAAACTTAACGGTCAGGGAGGCACTAAGCGTCAGGACGCCAGCACTCTACAGTTGGCGCACTGTAACTCAGCATATCTCTGAAAAGGGAATTTGATAATGGCCATCAAACCTTAAAATGTATCCTTTACCAAGAAATTCAACCTTCACCCCCAGTAAAGTGGCACAAACAGGGGTAGCATACAAGAGGGCTCACCATAGCACTGTTCAAAACAGGTATGAACAATGTCCAGCAGCATGTTCAATAAAGGGTTTATTTCCCATCCGCAGAAAAGCAGCAGTTCCCATCAGCAGAAAAAGAGGCTAGGTAACCCAATTACTGCAACTAGGGTAAGGACTTTTCTTTGGGAAAAACTGAAGTCATAGCCCATTTCCTAAGCTCTGTTGCTAATGCTGACTGCATTTTCCGGTGTGCCAAGCCCTGCTGTGCAGGTGTGAGTAGTACACGCCTCGCAGATCTCCGCCTGACCAGCAGTCCCGCACTCAAAATCCCCTGCCAGCTGTCTGCCCAGGCCACACCTCCCCTGGGTTGCTCCCGGTAAGTGATGCAGCAGGGACTCTAAGGCAGGCCAGTTCCCCTACACAGGCGACTCCAGCTTTGCAGACCCTTCCTGGAAGGGCACCACAGTCCAGGCTCCTCCTACCCAGCCCGTCCACTGCACAGGGGTCAGGCTTGTAGGCGGCTCTCCCCTTCCTCCAGCTCCCTCCTCACTTGCTCCCCCAAGTACTTACCCAGGGAGATCTCTGCACACCTCCCCGGCATCTGCTCTGCAGAGGATCCAAACTGATGCAACTGCCCAGAGCCCTTCACAATGATCCACTTAATTCTCACAACAATCCTAGGTGATAAGCTTTAGTATCTCCTCTTTACAGATGAAGAAACTGAGAAACCAGATTCTGCCTCCTACCTTGAAAAACAAATTCCACAGATTAACAGTCCATCTCCATTGTGGTGGTCATTAGCGTTATTCACCTCCATCTGGTTCTCTGCTCCTCTGAGGACCTGAAGACTGATTTTCCTGACTCCCTGTGGTGCCAGCCTTGGCCAGTGAGTGAACAGCAGAAGTGATGTGTGTCACTTCTTTCAAATTACCAGAACAAGATCCTTCAGAGTTGTCTGTCTGCAATGTTCCAGAAATGATGAGCAAAGACCCCCCTGCCAAGTGGAAATTAGAGACTTTGTTATTTTAAGCCTGTGGGATCAGGGGAAGGTTTGTTATTACAGCATGATCTGGTTTCCTCTGACTTGGTATGATAACTAAAATTAGGTTTAGTTTCATGACAAGTTTAGCTTATATGTCCTGATAAGAATGTTAGAGATTATAGAATCTTATTTTATGTAATATAATATAATTAATTTAAAAATATTTTTATATGATAAATCTGCTATGCAAAAAATTAAAAGCTTCCACATATCAAAAAGTATTAAAATAAAGTTATAAGTAAAAATCTGGAATAAAAAATACATGTATGAGATTCATAAAAAGGGTTAGTATTCAAATGTAGAAATAATTCCTAAGTCAATGGGCAAAGACACTAATACACAACTCTCAGAAAAAAATAAAATTTTGATTAAAGTAGATTTTAAAAATGTGGTTAAAAGAATCGTGTAGCTCTGTATGCTTTGACATGGAAGATCACCAAGCTATATATTAAATGAAAAGTGTAAGTTGCAGAACAAAAGAAAAACAAAAACTATTTATTCACTGTTCAGTATACATTCATTCATTAACCATGTATTTTTCGTGCACTTATTATGAGCCTATAATGCGCCAACAATGTACTAGACCTTTGAATAGTCTCCATACATCTTATTCATATATGCCACACATCATTAACTGCAGGTGCTCAAGAGATACCAGATAAGCTCCAGGCACGGGCCATGGGCTTTTCCGGAAAGTGTCACATAACCCTCATGCTTGTCTTGTGAAACCAGGCCCCCTTATACAAGAGTCCATGCTGCTTGCCACATGCTGCTCTGCTTCCGTGTTCACACGCACAGGAAAACCAGACATCAGACTGTTAGATGTGGTCACGTCGAAGGAGGAGGCAACGGGAAGGACGCAGCCTTGAAATATTCCAGTATGTCCAATGCCACACACACAGTGAAGCCCTCTGTGTAAACCCCTCCCTCCAGTCCTATTCCTTCCATTCCCCACTGCCAAGACTAATCACTAGATGTTCAAGTGCGGATAATAAGTTTTTGTAAAAAATGTGTAAGAGACTGTGTATTTTCTCTTCTTATGCTTTATATTTCCTCCCTTTTACTGCAATATGAGGAGATATTTTCTGGGGTGTTCAAAATGCATATCAAGTTACACATCTATCACTGAGCAATTTTCTGAACAGAGCTGTGCTGTCCAATATGATAGCACCAGCCATATGTGGCTACTCCAAATTGAGCTGTCAAATATGTACTACACTTCGAAGACATGGTATGAAAAGGGATGTAAATACCTCATTAGTAATTTCATATTGTTTACATATTGAAATAATATTTAATATGCTGATTAAATAAAATGTTATGAACATTAATTTCACCTGTTCTTTGTACTTTTTTAATGTGTCTATTAGAAAATTCAAAATTACATATGTGTTAGTATTTGTGGCTCACATATTTCTACTAGACAGCACTGAAAAATCTGATATACTTTATTTTAAAAGTTTAAAATTTTGTTATGAAAAGTATTACATATACTATCCAAGAGTTTGCTAATTACCTCTCTATCAGAATTAAGCATTCTTATGTTCTAATATGTGCTGATGTTACTTTTCTAACAGTACAAGAGTCCCCGCCTTGGCGGAGGTGGGAGACACCGTGGCCGAGGATCAAAGGGGTTCTCAAGGGCCTGCAGATACAGAGCCTCTAGCAACACAGGCCATGTGCAATCTACCTGTGCAAGCCCAGCTGTGCAATGATCACCTGGCACAGCTGGTCAGAGACAGATCTTGCCATTAGCCCCAGAATTTTTATTCCTGTAGTCTGAAAGAGGACCTTGAAATTGTATTTTCTTTTTAATTCCCCAGGCAAACCTTATGGACAGCTATGTTTGGGAACTATGTCTTCATCAACATATCTTAACTAAGTTAGGTAGTTATGACAGGGCCCAAAGAGAAGGCAAAGAACTACTTTTTCAATCTCTAGTAAATAATACAAATTAAACCCACATAAAGATGCCATTAGATACATAGCAGGTTGCCAAAATTTTAAGTCTGACAATACCAAGGATGGACGGCGTGACAAGGGATTTCTCACACTTGGCTGACTCAAGTACTTTGGAAAACAGCTTGGTGCTTTCCTGTAGGACTGAAGAGACTCAAACCCTATGACTGAGCCACTCCACTATTCAGAGGCATAACATGGGGACCGGGAGACATGTACAAGAATGCTCAAAACAGCATTGTTTATAACAGCCAAATGCTCGAGCAAACCTGATGCCCGTTAATAGAAAATGACTAAATATACTGTAATGTATTTGTACAATAGGGAACTACACCCAACAATGAAAATGAAAGAATTACAGCTTCTTACAACATCTGGATTAAACTCAACACACAAAGACCAAAGAAGCAGGCCTTGATGACATCGCCACGCCGCTGAACAAGCCCATCCTGGAAGAACACTATCCCTGGGTTGCCACAAGGTAACAGACATGCCCTTGGTAATGTCTCTGGAAGGATACCCCAGTAACTGGTAACAATCAGGGTAGAGGATAGGGGTAATGGGAGATTTATTTTTCACTGTATACCCCTTTCTACCTTTTTATTTTACACTATGGACATGTATTATCTACCCCCAAATAATTAAAAAGTGATACATGCTTGGTTTCCAATTTCCAAACAAAACACTGAGCAGCGAGATTGAAGATGGTAATTAATTCCTCCCTCTCCTCTGCATCTGTATTGCTGATTTCATCTCACTAAGAGTATGGAATGGCAGCCATGTCTTCAAGGACATAATAAGCATTTTTAAACATGATTAGGCCATGGCCATGGGAAAAAACAACTCTTTCAATCATAAACTCCACTAATGCCAGAATTGACAGTACAGAATTAGCGATACAGAGCTCATTTAATCCAAGAACTGCCAACCTCCCTACAAATCAAAAAAATGAATCCAAATCAAAAATTTGGGAAACTTATAAACCACCATGAAAATCTACAGACTGTCCAATAAAGTAAGAGTGTGCACAAAACCCAAGTTGGACACGCAAACTACCCTTTACTGCACCTCCTCTATCTCAGCATTCTCTCAAAACTGCCTCCTTCCTCCTGGGCCTCCTATCTCAGTCAGTGGGATTGCTTCCACCCAACTTCTCAATAGAAACTACGGAAGCTTTACTCATACTCTGGGGCTTCCAAAAACACTTTTAAAATCATTTCAGTATAGCACTTGTCACTTACTAGTCTACTAGTCTTTTCCTTTAAGCTGTGAGCTTCTCAAGGCTTGGGAACAGATTTTTTTCTATGCATTTCTACCCATCCCGGAGTGGAGTGCCTGGCTCCATCTGTGCTTTTAATTCACTGAAAGAAAAAGTAGGGGGAAAAATCATGCCTTAAGAGTTTGCTTAAAGTCAAGGGTAGTAGACTATTAAGAACATACCAACTAGTATTTATCTTCCATCCTTCTTAGGGGCTTAAAGCTCTTCATAGTAACTCCTACAGTTAGAAACTTGATAACCAAACGTAAAAAATATGTATATATAAGCATAAAGATGCACTCTATTCACCATTCAGTGAATACTTACTGCTCAGGTACATGAACAAAATAGACATGGCAGTTCCTGCACCCACAGACCGCATAGGTCTGCAAGAAGACCAACAAACGAACAAGAAGACAGTCGCTAAGTAGCGCGGCAGCATGGACTGGGGTCATGAGAGCACAACGTAGAGGGATGTATATGGCATGCCTCTTGGGACTATATCCTACGTCCTGAATTATATGACAACTGCCCATCGCAATCCCACATAAACACTGGATTTAGCCAGCAAAGAACGCTTCTCTACAAGGACAGGCCAGTCCCTTAGACACCAAGCTCTCTCCTCTTTGAGGCCATTAAAAACTGCCAGACTCCCAGGGGTTTATTTATTAAGTGACCAGTCATGAAGTATATTCTGAGATCATCCATAGAAACCAAAAACAGTAAGCTTTTCCAGGTGCACTGAAGAGAAGTGGAAAGCAAGTGATTTAATGAACCCCCACAAAGGCTAAAAGTGTGTACTTTCTACCTACCAGGTTAATGAGAGCTATCTCATTTAATTCTAGTCTTCACTATCCATATAAAATTCCTGTGAACGAAGAAGGAATTTATTTGTATTTGCCCATGCACTTAAAAGGTGCTAGATTTAATTGTATCCACAACTGCTAAATTATGAAGCTGAGGTAAAAGTGATCTGCTGAAATAAATTCAATCCAGATAAAAATAAATTCAAAAATTCACCATACACACATCCTAAAATATCACACAGAACACCAACACACAAAAGAAGGATTCGTCTGCTCAATGTCCACACACCTGTCAGACTCACTGACAAATGACTCACAAGGAGCTCATCCTTGAAAAGGAAAAAGGGGGATGAATGTAAGAACAAGGAACCATCTCTCCTTTTATGAAGAGGGTTTGGAGCGTGTGCGTGTACACCCCAGTATCTGTCTCTTAGGTGGCTACAAATAATAGAAGCAAATCAAAAGACTTGCTGAAAGGAGGAAGTAAGAGGAGTCTAAATTCACAATGACTGGCCATAATCCTACTACGTCCACACAACAGGATGTTGCTTAGCAATGAAAAGGAATGCACTATTATGACACACACGACATGGATAAATCTCAAAACAATACTAAGACAAGTGTGAGTGAGACCTACTTTGGGGAGGCTATTTCACTTCAGCTACATTATCATGCTTTGTG